TTTGGTTCCTGCATTTCTAGAATGTCTCCTAGATTCTTCTGCTTCTTATAATAGAGTTTCAGATCCCTGCTTTCCAGGGGTAATGGGAATATGTGAGTTGAGAAAGAGACTTCATGATGATTCATTATGATTTTTAACCTTCCTCTCCACTGAGATAATCCTCATCCTGCATACTAGATTAGTGGTAATACTCTTAGTTCTGTGGTATAAATGAATGGTACCCTCCTCTTCAAATCAGATTTCCACCACTTACTTTTGCCTTAGTAGTACTGGACCAGAATCTCAGGATCTGAGTTTTATGTATTTGTTAGTGTTGTAAATGGAGAAGACAATGGCACCCCACTCCAGTACTCTTGCCTGGAAAATCCCATGGATGGAGGAGCCTGGTAGGCTGCAGTCCATGGGGTCGCTAAGGGTTGGACATGACTGAGCAACTTCACTTTCACTTTTCACTTTCATGCATTGGAGAAGGAAATGGCAGCCCACTCCAGTGTTCTTGCCTGGAGAATCCCAGGGAAGGGGGAGCCTGGTGGGCATCCATCTATGGGTTCGCACAGAGTTGGACATGACTAAAGCGACTTAGCAGCAGCAGCAGCAGTGTTGTAAAGGTGCTTTTAATAAAGTTTTTAGGGAAATCATTTTCTAGGCTGTGTTAACATTCTACCACAACTTTTCTTCTAATCTGAATAGATACTGCTTTGGAATCTGATGAGTCTCTAGCAGAACAGACATTCCTTTCTCTGATGAACAGGTCTTGTGATCTCTAAGCCACACCCAGTCACCTTTCTGGAGCAAAGAAAGTTTCCTCAGGATGGAGGGAGAATGGAGAGAAAAGCCACACACCCAGGTATTTGTGAATGGATGGAGCCGATGACTCAGGTGAGAGGTCCAAGGATCCATGAGGAAGTCATCCTTCGTCATGTGGTTTGGGAAGATCTGCTTCAGTGGAAATGATTTTGGAGAAATCTGGGTTTAGTTCCCTCAGTGTCACAGAGGGTCAACTCCAGCCTCATTCTTGGCTCCTGGATCTTTCTTTTATTTTTCTCCAGTGCTTAATTTTCACATTCACAGTGAGAACCAAGATTCTCCTCTTGGCCTGTGCCATCCTGCCTGACCTGATGGGTCTTCCATCTCTCGGGGATTCTAGGAAGACTCTGCACACTTTTGAGTAACTATGTTCAGTTAGTTCAGTTCAGTAGCCAAGTCATGTCCAACTCTTTGCAACCCCATGAACTGCAGCATGCCAGGGCTTCCCTGTCCTTCACTATCTCCCTGAATTTGCTCAAACTCATGTCAGTGATGCCATTCAACCATCTCATCTTCTGTTGTCCCCTTCTCCTCTTGCCCTGTCTCGGCCCCAGCATCAGGGTCTTTTCCAATGAGTCAGCTCTTCGAATCTGGCCAAAGTGTTGGAGCTTCAGCTTCAGCATCAGTCCTTCCAATGAATATTCAGGGTTGATTTCCTTTAGGATTAAACCGATTTGATCTCCTTGCTATCCAAGAGACTCTCAAGAGTCTTCTTGAGCACCACAGTCCCAAAGCATCAGTTCTTTGGTACTCAGCTTTCTTTATCATCCAACTCTCACATCTGTACATGACTACTGGAAAAGCCATAGCTTTGATGATATGGACCTCTGTCGGCAAAATTATGCCTCTACTTTTTAATACACTGTCTAGGTATGTCATAACTATTCTTCTAAGGAGCAAACATCTTATAATTTCATGGCTGCAGTCAATTTCTGCATAGATAGAGCCCAAGAAAATGAAAATGAAATATGAAATGAAAATGAAATGAAATATGAAGTGAAAATGAAATATGACCCTTTGCATGTTTCCTCATCTATTTGCCCTTTTAAGAGCTCTGGTTCTGTCTCTAGACAGAAGTGTGTGAGTGGAGTCATGGACAAACTGCCAAACTTCTAGGAATACTGGGGACAGATATTTTATAAAGCGTGTTTTATAAAGATCTTTTATAAAGATGTTTTCTGCTTTATAATTTCCAATCCCCTGCAAACTACACATATGACTTGATAAATTTCATACTCAACTAATTTATTCAGTGCATAAGGGACCTCTCTCCAATGAGAAATATAAACCTGAAGGTTTCTTCAAAGTTTGTCTTTTCTTAGTACGAACTAATGTCAACATGTTAAGTGTATTTGCCCCATTACACAAACCTAAAATATTTTTATATTTACTTAACATATAGAATTTTTAAATTGTTGACTGGGAAATTAGAACATTTATCACCTAAATGCTTGTGGTTTATTCTCACTATTAAACTTTTTAGATTATATAAATAATTTTTTTATTTAAAAAAATAATTTGAGTACAGTTGCTTTACAACATTGATGTTAGGTTCTGCTGTATTGCAGAGTAACTCCGTTATATGTGTATATATGTGTGTGTGTGTGTGTATTTGTATAATCCCTGCAGGAGGGCATGGCCGCCCACTCCAGGATTCTTGCCTGGAGAATCCCATGGGCAGAGGAGCCTGTCGGGCTACGGTCCATAGAGTCGCAAAGAGTCGGATGTGACTGAAGCGACTTAGCAGCATGCACAGATATAATATTTATCCACTCTATTTTAGATTTCCATACCATTCAGGTCACCATAGAGCAATGAGTAGAGTTCCCTGTGTTAAAGAAATTAAACAAGAATTGAGATTTTAAAAACTCCACCATATTTTAAGCTCTCAATTCTTGTTTGATTTCTTAAGAACTGTTACTTTGTTAAGTTTATCTCGTTTGTTATGAAGCTTACCAGGACTGTGTCCCATTTGTTCTTACTTTCTGATTAAGTATATATCAAGATCATGTATGATTTTGGATTCGAAACATCTAGTAGAACACGCCCAAATAAAAACACTTGTGTTAAGAACTGCATTACAGAATTCGTAGGGACCCTGCATTGGTGAAAATGTTTGCTTTGTAAATTTAAGATTGCTGAGGAGGAGGCAGCAGCTGGGGTCATGAGATTGCCGTGCAGTCCCCGGGGTCGCAGAGAGTCAGACACAACTGAGCGACTGAACTGAACTGACCGTGGTGGGAGCCCTCCCTAGTGCCCAGTGAGGCAATGGCTGGGACACGTGGACAGAGGATGGGATGGCGGCCTTGCCCTTCGGGTGTCTCTCAACAACGCTGCTCTGCGCTATGGTGGTTCAGGCTTCCTCCACAAGCATCCTGTTTGCAGAGCTCCTCCCTCCCTCCCGTCCCTTCAGGTGTCTCCTCACAGCCAACCGCAGTCCTCTGCCTGGGTCTGCTCTCCAAGCCCCACATTTGAGGACCCAGCCCTTGTGTGCAATGGTGGACACCCTCTCAGGCTTGGGGGAGCAGGGCTGGGCTCAGGACCGTCTGCCGAGGTCTCACTCTGTCCTGCCTGCCTCTGACTGGTGCTGCCTTCTCTTCCCATCAGAGAATGAGGCTCCCTTCCGTCCCGGTGAGCTCCCCTCTAGGGTTGCAGGTCCCGCCCCACTTCCTCTCCTCACCCTTTTCCTTCTTGTCTCATTGGTCCTGCCTGGCTATGAGGGGATCTTTCTTGTCCTTTCAGGTGTCAAGGTCCCCTGCTCGTGTTCAGAAGGGGCTCTGTGAATATTGTTCCATTTCTGACGTATTCTCGATGCATTTGTGGAGGGAGATGAACTCCACATCTTCCTAATCCTCTGCCGTCTTGACTCCTTCTGTGTCTGTTTTATTCCTAAACTAGCTAAGCAAGTATCCATTTTATGTAAGTCGTAAAGTATATTCACTGAGAATAGTGAGTGGAAAAACTTGTCATTTGCTTTCAGCTGTGTCTTCTCATGACATCCAGGGTTTGATGCCCCAAAAGCCAGGCTTAGAAGATTTATTCCCCAAAGAAAAGTTAACAATATATGAAAGATTTCACATTGGAAATTTACATTTCACAAAAAACTAGGAAGATATGAGAGCGTGTGAAAGGCAGAGAGGATGTTATGATGGACATAACCAAACTGGGATGGTTTCTCACAATGTAAACATTACTGCCAAGAGAAATCAAGGATGGGAATCAAACTGGGGAAAACACTCATTTCAGTCATTAACATCTGCTGAGAAGTGTATGTTTGGAAGCAAAGACTTACGCTTTTTTGAAATGTACCTGTTCTCTGAAAGGAAATGTGGAAAATCTGGAAAGTCACCTAGTCTATACTGCAAATACTCATTCGAACCTTTCTGAATGCAGGCTTCAATCTAACACACATTCAAATATGTCTGAAACCCGGGTATTTAAAATTGAGGTTAAAAATTCTTGGTATAATCAATTTGAGGGATTCTTTAGCCAGGGTTCAATATTCTTCAACCAACAGCTATTTTCTCTTCGTTCCAGCCTGTAATGTTGATTATTTTGAAAGAGTCTAATCCAACCATCATGTTTGAAGACATATCATGGTATACTTAACGTGAAAGAATTTTTCATGTGCAGTAACATGGGTAAAGCTTTAAGCAAGAGTGCTAACTCCAACAATCACAAGAATATTTATAGGGAAGTGAGAAGATTTTCATGCAGTGAAACTGGGCATAACGTTGACCATGACTCAAGTCTTATGAAACATCAGGGACCTCAATCTTCAGACAACGATTTTAAAAGTAATAAATGTATGAATATCTTTTAACAAAGATCGCATCTTTCTCTATATAAGAGTGTTCACATTGGAGAGAACACTTATGATTATGGTGTGTATGAGAAAGTTTTAAATCAATCTTTAAAACTTATTCAACAGCAGAGTATTCAAAATCCTCAGAAGCATAACAAGTGTCATAAATGTGGTAAAGTCTTTGCTAAACCATGAAATCTAAGTGGCCATAGGAAAATTCATACAGGATGGCAACCTTTCAAATGTATAGAATGTGGCGAAGCCTTTATCCAGGGCTCATATCTCACTCGACATCAGCAAATTCATACTGGAGAGAAGCCTTATAAATATATGTAATGTGGAAAAACCTTTAATCAGATATCAATTCTTGCTAGACATTTGCAAATTCATGTTGGTAATGCAGAGAAGATTTAAGAAATGTACAGAATGTGGCAAGGCCTTTATCCATTGCTTTAAATTTATTCAATGTAAGAGAATTCATACTGAGGAGAAACATTATAAATGCACAGAGTGTGGCAAAACCTTTAATAATAGTTCCACTCTTAATAGGCAGCAAATAATTCATACTGGAGAGAAACCTTATAAGGGTTGTGGGAAAGCCGTTAACCAAATTCCTAGCTTTATTCAACATTGGCGAATTTGTACTGGAAACCATTCAGATGTAAAGAATGTGGCAAAGCCTTTACCCAGAGCTCAAGTCTTAGTCAACATCAGATAATTCATCCTTCAGAGAAAACTTAAAAATTTAAATGTAAGGAAAGTGGCAAAGGCTTTAATCAGAGCTCTCACCTCACTAGACATCAGAGAGCACATACTGGAGAGGAACCCTAGTAATGTAGTAAGTAATGAAAGAGGTTAGTCCTAAATGTACGCTTTAGAAAACACGAGAGCATTTATACAGGAAAGATATGTGATGAAGTAAAAAAAAGTAGGGAAGTTTTAATAAAAATCAAATCTAAATAAATATCAGAGAATGCAGACTAGGAAGCACTTCATATTTCATCTGAAGGAGAATTACTGTAGATAGCAATCTGTAGTTAAAATAGAGAAAATTGATATGTTAGGATGGATCCCAGGATGGAGGCTTGTGTGTGGAGCGGTACACTTATTAGCAATGTGTTCTTGTTTGTTTTGACATATTTGAGATTATTTGAAAACCACATGAAAGTAACTCAACCCTCAAAATACCACAAGTCATGCTTTGTTTGTACTGTGCGTGTGAACGTAAGTTTTTGATGGTTGCTGCCTCAGTGAGAAGAGAATCCCTTCTACATGAGGTAGGAACCATTGGTATTTATTCTCCATTGAGGACATTAAGGACACAGTAATACAACATGTACCCTGAACATCTAAATGGAGGTGTTTGCCATTGGTGTCAAGCAACCCTGTAGGTCACCATGATGTAAGTGTTCAGGAAATAATTCCACAGGGGTTTGTTCTAAAATTTCAATGTCACTTGCTTTTTAAGAATAATACAATGACAGTTCACTGAAATTTTGATGCATCTTTATAATATTAACAGAAGTCATGAATATTAATTGACATGTTTGAAATAAAGACTTCTCTGGTACCCTGGAAAAGTACGGGAAACCCTTCCCAGAAAAATCATGTAATTAATCTGTGTCTTGTTTATTAAATGATTAGCCTTCATTTTGTAAACATAGAAAGTGCAACTCTCAGACCAAACTGTATCACAAAAATTAATATCATGGTCTATGCTTGTAATCTGTATTCTAATCAAGGATCACACAGTGGAATGTAAAAGGTTTCATTCTGACCATTCATTATGAATGTGTGCTATTCATACATGTGATCAATAAAACTGAATGGTTTCCGGTGATACAGTTGATGTGTAATGAATGAAGTCTTTACCTATCACCACCATTAACCTCTCGCATCTTATTTAAGGTTGCAGGAAAGAATCATAACAGTAAACTATTAGGTAGCACTGTGGGATGACATCTGTTACTGCCCTTAAGCCTCATATAATTTGATCATGCATTTCCCATCGTTTCTCCATTGTAATTTCCCCCTCTCTGTAACTGCTGGGCCATGGTGACGATTCTAATAAGAAGGATCATACAGAGCACTGTTGAGAGCTCCGCTGAACTGCTGCATGCTGTTGCTGCCTCAGCGTCTGTCTGGGGAGCAGGCAGCCTGCAGGTCCTTGAACTCACACCAGCCAGTCCTGTGAGCACCTGCTCTAGGTGACCCCCTTCCTTGAGGCCAGCAGTCTTGCTGAACCCCAGGGCCTACTTCACAGGCCCCCCTTCATGGACACCCTCAGAGCTCATCAGAATCCTGTTCCTCTTGGTTTGAATGAATGCATCCACACTCAGGCTGCGGAACCCACAGCGCCTCACCCAGGGTCACTTAGAAAGGCCGGAACCCCAAGTACTGCAGCTTTCTCTGCCTGGTTCTAGCCTGACCTCCCTCAGAAATTCCCACCCTAAACCCTCCCCTTCTGAGAGCTCTCAGCTGTGCTGGGTGTGAGGGCTGAAGCTCAGGGCTCCTGAGTGTGGGTCTTGGGGGAGAAACATCAGAACAGAGAACATGCTAAAGACGTATTTAATGAACCCACCTCAGACCTGCAGATTCATAACTTCTTAGAGTGGGGACCTGACCTCAAGCGGTTCATATTCACTGAAATAGTTCAGAAAGAATCTGAACCATTGGCCAAGTGATTTCCATCTGTTTCCCATCAGGGTCATATGACCAGTGTTAGAAAATGACCTCCCCGGTGCCCTCCCCAGAGTTTGTCTATTAGTCCCGTGGGAGCACTAGTGTGGTGTGTAGGAAGTGCTCCAGGGGATTCTAAGGGGAGGCCCGGATTAAGGACGTGGCTTCTGGTCCATTTGTGAGAGGTGAGACCCAGTGTCAGTCCGCGGAGAGGCAGCAGGGTTGGTCTAGCTCGATTTGGACCGGGGAAGTCAACTCACATCATCTGTGTGAGCAGAGGGTTAGGAGCTCTCTATGGGGAGAGAACAATCAAGAAATAAGTCCATAGGCTGGTCTCCAGGTAGGAAGTGATTGTTCCTGAGTCTCTCCTCAGAGAGGACAGGAGAGGTGGGTCTTTTCAGCTTTTCAAGGTCCTTTTGTCTGTAGGTGAAGTAGTTGCAGGTTAAAGAGCTGTGAGGATGCCTTTGAAGGTATTTTCTCAAGATGCAGATGTGAGTTTGCGACGTAACATCCCCAGAGAAGATACAGAGCAGGAGGAAGAAGAGGAGGAAATGGCAGCTTCTCAGGTACGTGTCCTGTCCCGGGTCTGGGGCTGTGTCTGCTTTTCTTCCTGAAATGCCTGGACTGAGAACCTGCAAACCTTTAGTTCTCTGCCTCTAACTTTTCTGCCTGGGTGTTTGTTATTAACTTCTTTATTTTTTCCTTTTCTTCTTATCATAGTGAAGCCTGGCTCTTTAGACCACTTCTCCCTTGTGTCCCAGAATCTTGTCTCCCTTGTCTGTATCCTGGCTTTCTATGGAGCATGATGAATTCTCAACCTGAATTAGCAACTTTCAACTTGTGAATATATCCCTTTGTGAGAGAGAAACACGGAGAGGCACTGGTATCCGAGATTCCCACTGGGATGTGGTTCGGTGTTGGGATCTTAGGGAACTAGGGGAAATGCCATGATGAGTTTACATGTGGATGCAATTTCAGCTCTTTAGGAGTTAGAAAAATGTCCTTATATATTGAATAAACTCAGTGATCCAGAATTTTTCAGAAAATGCTCAGAAATAAAAAGAAAACTAGGAGATACTGTCCTCTGTAATGATAAGACTTACTAGTTAAACACATTGTTAGGATACAAAATGGAGGAAGTATATATGAAATGAATTTTGCATAAAACTGACATTTTTTTATGTTAGGTTCAAGTTATATTTTCCTTTTTTTCCCGAAATGCCCAGGTTCTGATAGTGCATCTTCCGTGTGATCCATTTACACCATGACAGATGATGTCCACTGGCTCTGGTGATTTCTCTGAGATTATCAGGCTATAAAGTTCATTTTCTTTTCATCTGTCTTTAAACAAGGCTGTGGAAAAATGGAATGAGGAACATGTGAAAACCCTCACAGTTAATGGAGAAACTCCACATCTTCTTGGTTTCTCTTTGCTTTGGAAAATGAACACTCACTGTGTTGATGATACATACTGGGTTTTGGGAGTGAGAGTTTTCATCACTCAAGCCCAAGTGTGATGTTTCCAGTACACTCCATGCTCATATCACAGACATAGTCTTCTTACTCACATCTTTGTATTTTTTTATCAAAATATTTGCAACAATCATATTGGTGCTAGTCTGTTTTCAGCTGTGTTGAATTTCTAAGACACAGCTCAACAAAATGATAGAGGTGTTCAAGAAATTAAAGTTTCAGAACCAAGGTCTCTAATTTATCTTATACCATTGTATATGTTTGCACCCTAGTGTATTTACAATATACAAAGAATATCATCCACAAGTAGATGTGTATATTTTAACACATTAAAAATAATCTCAATTTTATTGACATGAATATGAATGACTGAACTGAACTGAACATGAACTGAACTGAATATGAACTGATTTTATTGACATGAATATTGATTTTATTGACATGAATATGAATGAACTGAACTGAAATGAACTGAACTGAACATGAACTGAACATGAATCAGTTCAGTTTAGTCGCTCATTCGTGTCTGACTCTTTGCAACCCCATGAACAGCAGCACTCCAGGTCTCCCTGTCTGTCACGAACTCCTGGAGTTTACCCAAACTCATGTCCACTGAGTCAGTGATATCATCTAACCATCTCATCCTCTGTTGTCCCCTTCTCCTCCTGCCTTCAACCTTTCCCAACATGAGGGTCTTTTCAAATGAGTCAGCTTTTCGCATCAGATGGCCAAAATATTGGAGTTTCAGCTTGAACATCAGTCCTTCCAATGAACATCCAGACTGATTTCCTTTAGGATGGACTGGTTGGATCTCCCTGCAGTCCAAGGGACTCTCAAGAGTCTTCTCCAACACCACAGTTCAAAAGCATCAATTCTTCTGTGCTCAGCTTTCTTTATAGTCCAACTCTCACATCCATACATGACTACTGGAAAACCCATAGCCTTGACTAGATGGACCTTTGTGGACAGAATAGTGTTTCTGCTTTTTAATATGCTGTCTAGGATGGTCATAATTTTCCTTCCAAGGAGTAAGCGTCTTTTAATTTCGTGGCTGCAGTCACCATCTGCAGTGATTTTGGAGCGAGCCCCCCAAAATAAAGTCAGCCACTGTTTCCACACTTTCCCCATCTATTTGCCATGAAGTGATGGGACCAGATGCCGTCATCTTAGTTTTCTGAATGTTAGCTTTTCCTTAATACTCTTAATAAGTATATAGTCTCATTTTAACATATGCCTGTATGCATGAAAATGTTAAAATTATTTTTTTTCTTGTTTTGGTATTCTCCCCAGTTATATAAAGTTCTTTTTAAAAAATACATGTATTTATGTTTGGCTGAGTGGTGTCTTGGTCGTAGCCTGCAAAATCTTGGAGCCATGTGGGAGACTTTGTGGCAGCAGGCACACTTTAGCTCTGGTGTGTGGGATCTAGTTCTCTAACAAGGGACTGAACCCAGCCCCCTGACTTGGGAGCTCAGATTACCAGGGAAGACCCTATGAAAGCTTGTGTACACTTTCTTTAGTGTTGTCTCTGTGTATTTGTGCTTTACTAGTTAAATTTTAGTTCACATAAACTGAAGCAAATTCAAGATCTGCCATTTAATGAATGTTTGACAAAATATTTGCAAAACGGTGGAACAACAATGTTGTTGATTTTATATTATCTATGTGATACATTCAAGACCCTGTAAAAACTTTTAGAAAGACATATAGTATATAATAAATAGTTCAAATGATTATTGCTGCTATAGGTACTATTCTATCAGAACTGTCAATTTTGTAAAACACTTAAAATTCAAAGTTAAGTGTAAATTCTTACCTTAGTGGTCTACCTCTTTGCTATTCAGAACAGTCATTCATGTATCAGAACTTTCAACATTATTAGTTAAAATAAGCTTGTTAAAAATGCGGCACTTTGGCCCCACTCCAGAATTCTTAGATCAGAGCATCATGCTTTTTAAAAATATTTCCTGTTTCCTTGATAGGGGGCTTCCCTGGTGGCTCAGATAGTGAAGAATCTGCCTGCCATGTGGGAGACACGGGTCCAATCCCTTGGTGGGGAAGATCCCCCTGGAGAAGGAAATGGCAACTCACTCCAGTATTCTTGCCTTAAAAATCCCATGGACAGAGAAGCCTGGCATGCTACAGTCCATGGGGTCAGAATGAATCAGACATGACTGAGTGACTAACATGCTTTCCTTGATAGACAGTTTACCCTGTGTCACACGAGTACAACTCTCAAAGTTAGACAAGTCAGTGTTGATGTGATTGTTTTATAATTTCTCTTCCAGATCAGAATAGTTTCTATAGTGGTCTGTGGATCATATCTCATTCTCTTTTCCTGGGGTTAGAAATACAGTGGAAAATATGGAGGTATAAAAATTATATTCTTGTGTAACACCAGACATTCTCCTGAATCAAAACCATATCTCTTGCTGGTTTCATCTTGGGTCACATTAGGAAGTCTTCCCAGGTCCACGTGGCTCATGTCCTTTAGGGGCTGCTGACATTCCAGGATGTGACCGTAGATTTCACTCAAGACGAGTGGGAATGCCTGGACCTCGGTCAGCGGGAATTGTACAGGGACGTGATGTTAGAGAACTACGGGAATTTGGCCTGCTTGAGTGAGGATAACTTGCTTCCAGAATCCCTTATGTATCCTCAGGGTTTTGGTTCATTCATTCTAGAATGTCTCCTGGAATTTTCTGCTTTGTCCAGTTGAGGGTAAGATCCCTACTTTCCAGGGAAAAGTAACCTTCTTTCTTGATGCAACCCGCCTCCTTGTTCAGTCGCTAAGTCATGTCCAACTCTTTGCGATCCCGTGGAATGCAGCAAGCCAGGCTTCCCTAGCCTTCTTTAACTCCCAGAGTTTGCTCAAATTCATATCCACTGAGTCAATAATGCTATTCAACCATCTCATCTTCTGCCACTCTCTTCTCCTGCCATCAATCTTTCCCAGCATCAGGGTCTTTTCCAATAAATTGGCTCTTCGCATCAGGTGGCCGAAGTATCGGAGCTTCAGCATCAGTCCTTCCAATGAATCTTCAGGGTTGATTTCTTTAGGATTGACTGGTGTGATCTCCTTGCTGACCAAGGGACTCTCAAGAGTGTTCTCCAGCACCACAGTTCGAAGGCATCAGTTCTTTGGTGCTCAGCCTTCTTTATGTTCCAAATATCACATCCATACATGACTATTGAAAAAACCAAAGCTTTGACTATACGGACCTTTGTAGGCAAAGTGATGTCTCTGCTTTTTAATATGCTGTCTTTGTCATAGCTTTTCTTCCAAAGGGCAAGCATCTTTGAATTTCATGGCTGCAGTCACCATCTGCAGTAATTTTGGAGCCTACCCCCCCCTCCCAAAATTAAATCTGTCACTATTTCCACTTTTCCCCTATCTATTTGCCATGAAGTGATGAGACTGGATGCCATGATCTTAGTTTTCTGAATGTTGAGTTTTAAGCCAGCTTTCTCACTCTCCTCTTTCACCCCCATCAAGAGCCTTTTTAGTTCCTCTTCAATTTCTGCCATTAGAGTGATACCATCTGTATATCTGAGGTTGTTGGTATCTCTCCTGGTAATCTTGATTCCAGGTTGTGATTCATCCAGCCCAGCATTTCGCATGATGCACTCTGCATAGAAATTAAATAAGCAGGTTGGCCATGTACAGCCTTGATGTGCTCCTTTCCCAATCTGCAACCAGTCAACTGTTCCATGTACGATTCGAAATGCTGCTTCTTGATCTGCATATACTTCATTCTAGTTCGTGGTAATTCTGTAAGTTCTGTGGTATCAAATAGTGCCACTCTCCTCTTAAAACCGGAACTCCACTACCTGCTTTTGCCTTAGTGGTACTTGAGCATAATACCAGAATCTGATTTTGATGCATTTGTCTTTTAAAGGTGCTTCCAATAAACTATTTGGTGAAATCATTTTGTTTAATGCTATTTTAAATTTCTACCTTGACTTCTCTCTCAGCTGAATACATATTGGATAGGAAATTGATGACTAGCTCAGAAAACACATATTCCTTTTTCTGATGAACAGGTCTTGTGGTCTCTAAGCCAGACCTGGTCATGTTTCTGGAGCAAATGAAGGATCCCTGGGGTGTAAGGAGAATGGAGACAGCCATATACCCAGGTATGTGTCTATGGATGAAGCAGATAACTCGGGTGAGAGGGACAAGCATTGGGGAGGAAGTCATACTTTGTCGTGTGGTTTGAGAAGATCTGCTTCAGTGGAGATGATTTCGGATTAGCCTAGGTTTATTTCTGTCACTGTCATAGAGCCTCCTCTCCTGACCCATTCCTGATTCTTTTTATCATTTGTGTATTTTTCTCCAGTGAGTAATTTTCACATTCACAGTTAGAACCAAAATATTTGTCTTGGCCTGGAACAACCTGCATGACCTGATAACTCGTCCATTTTGGGGAGGTTTTAGAAAATCTGTGCATATTTCTGAGTAACTATATGAAGCCCTTTTAAAAGTGCTGATTCTGTCCCTAGTCAGAAGTGTGTGGGTGGAGCTGTGAAAAAATTGCCAAACTTCTAGGAATACTGGGGACAGATGTTTTCTGTTTTCTACCATATAATTTCCAGTCCACTGGAATCTACACATATGACCTTAAAAATTTCATACTCAAATTCTTTCTTCACTGCATAAGACACCTCACTAAAATGAGAAAATGCAAATCTGAACTTTATGTTAAAGTTTCTCTTTTTTATATCAACTAACATTAAATGTGTTAAGTATATTTGCCCCAATTCATTAATGCTAAAATACTTTAATATGTTTATTTAACTCACAGAGTTTTTCAAGAAATTATTGATGTGGGAGTTTAGAACATTTCCCACAGTGCTTTCTTCTGATTGTTCTTCACTATTAAGCTTATCGATTGTATAGAGAAATCTTTAAGAAGAAATTTTTCTGTTCCAATAATGCTATTTTACAATGTTATGTGAGTTTTGCTATACATAAAGAATAAGTGATACATATACACATTTCCCTTCTTGAGTAGGTTTCCTTCCCATCTAGGTCACCACAAAGCATTGAGTAGAGGTCCCTGTGTTCTAACCATATTTTTCAAGTCTCACTTCTCATTTTGTTTGTTAAGAACACTTACCTTATTAAATCCATCTTGTCTGTTATGAAAGATCCCAGGACTTTATCGTTCATGCCATCTATTCTGATTAGTTCTACGTCAATAGCATTTACTATTTTAGACTCTATTAGAACATGCTCAGATAACAACATGAGTGGTAAGTGGGTTAAATAATTAGTAGGCATTAGCATTTGTGAAAATGTTTTGTTTGTAAGCTTGATTACTTGAAGCAGAAATTACTCATTACACTGCTCAGCTGCTCCTCACTTCGTTGTTCCTGTAGGTTTCTATCTTGACTTCTCCTCTGCACCATACTCCTTTGTCATCTCATCTTGTCCAATGTTCTGTGTTTGCAGTCTCTGTTCTGCAGGCTGCAGATCCTAGTTCCTCTTGCTCTGGTGTCTGCCCCGTGGTGGGTGAGGTGGTCCAGAGACTTGTGCCCTTCTGCCCTTGAGAGGAGGTTGACTGTTACTCTTGTGACCAGAGCCTGCCTGGATCTTGAGGGCCGCTTCGCCTTTCCTCTGTGGCTGTCACTGTCTGTGGTGGGGTCTGCTTCCTGATTGGTGGAGCAGAGGCCCCAGATCTGAAATGAGCTCTGCTCTGATCTGTGGTGCTTCTGATCTAGTAGGACTGGAGCACACCTACGGGGAGGGAAGCCACTGAGTGTTGCTCCTCTGGGGATGTTCTCCTCGGAGAGTGCTCTGCGAGTCATCTTTCATGTGCTGTGCGAGCTCTCATGTGACCCTGTGTTGGCATTGTTCTTGGCCCCACCTGAACCATGGGTATGCTGGCACTTGACCCTGGTGTCTCTCAGATGTTGTTTTCACCAGGTCACCAGCAGAGATCCACTGTGGTCATATCCCAGGTGTACATTCATTGTGGAGCTGGACCCGCTGCGGTGCTATGGGGGCAATGTAGACTGTGACCTGGCCCAAATGCCACATGTGCATGCCTACAGAGTCTACATTTGCTAAAACCAGACTGGCCTTGACTGCCACAGCCTCATTTCCATCCAGATGTTCTGTTGGGTCTGAGTTTACCAAGCCAGTTGTGGGGTGTAACACCATGGTTTGTACAGATGCAAGGAGAGATCTCAGCTTTTCTTGCTTAGTGGTAGGGCCTTGGGGCTCAGCTGTGGTTTCAGCACCACCTGTCCATTGGGACCACCCACAGGCATGTGCTCTGAAGGTGCCCCTGGAGCCCATGAGTCTACCCTGGTGGGGAGGAGGCTGGGAAGGAGGAAGGAGCTGTGGGGGTCGTGAGATCACCCACCTAGGTGGGAGCCATTCCTAGTGCCTGGAGAGGCAGGGACAGGCAGAGGGGCAGAGAGGCTGCAAGGAGGTTCTTCCCTTCGGGCATCACTCAATAGCGCCGCTCTGCTTCTCTGGTGGTTCAGGCTTCCTCCACAAGCATCCCATTTGCAGAGCTCCTCCCTCCGTCCCATCGCCTCAGGATGTCTGCTCACGGCCAACCACAGTCCACTGCCTGGGTCTGCTCTCCAAACGCCACGTTCCAGCACCCAGCCCTTGTCTGCATCGGAGGACACACTCTCAGGCTGGGTGGGCAGGGCAGGGGTCAGTACCCTGCGTGCAGGTCTCACTCTGTCCTGCACGCTGGTTGCCGTGTTCTCTTCCCACAGAGAACGAGGCTCCCCTTCTGTCCCAACTGAACTGCCCCCAATGAGGGGCTTCCCTGGATGTGGAGATCTCTCCTCTCTTCAGATCCCCCAGGGTTTTGCAGGTCCCATCCTGCTTCTTTTCCTCTTCCCTTTCCTCCATCACTCTTTTGTCCTACCTGGCTCAGCAGGAATCCTTGTCCTTTCAGGGGTCCAAGTTCCTCTGTCTGTGTTCTGCAGGGCTCTCTGAGAATTTTTCCACTTCAAGATGTATTCTTGATGTTTTTGTGGAGAGAGATAAACTCCACGTATTCTGAATCCTCTGCCATCGTGACTCCTTCTATCTCGGTTTTAGGCTTAATCTAGCCAAGTGTATGTCAATTTTATGTAAATTGTAAACTATATTCCCGAAGAATAGTAAGTAGAATAACTTATTATTTGGTATCTTTCAGCTGTGTCTTCTCACGACTCCCAGGGTTTGAGGACCCAAAAGCCAGGCTAAGAAGATTTACTCCCAACAGCAAAGCTAGGAATATATGAAAGATTTCACCTTGGAAATTTACATTTAACCAAAGACTGGCAATCTATGAGGGCATATAAAGAGCGGAGAGCATGTTATGATGGACACAACCAAGTTGGTCCAGTTTCCCATAAAGTAAACATTACCGCCAAAGGAAATCAAGGATGTGAATCAAATAAGGAAAAACCAATTTCAGATGACCAGTTTCAGTCATCAACATCTGCAGATAAGTGTATATTTGTCAGCAAAGGCCCACATCATCTCTTGAAACATACATGTTCTCTGAAGGGAAATGTGGAAAATCTGGAAAGTCATCTAGTCTCTACTGCAAATACTCATTCAAACCTATA